TATTAACACATTGACAGCCGGTGTGGTACGAGGCATTCAACGCCTGAGCGCCGGCACCGTAGCGCGTAGAAACCAGCGTTTTCGCGGGGCCGGCTGTCAATGTGTTAAAAAATGTTTCAGACAAAAGTTATTTGGTTTTCTATATAGCATAACTTTCTGCAATAAAAAATATAGGTTCCCATTTAAAAACACACAGTGGACCTTGGAAAAACCTTGAAAACCGCGACGAATACAAAATAACGGCACAACATTTTTTTCCCCCCTCGAAACCAAACGAAATTTGTTCGAACAATTTTTTCGTAAAATGCTTCCTTTCCGAGATATTCGTTTGTGTCAAGTTAAACGACACACCCTGTATGTAAAGTTCGTCACTCTATACGTATCATTAAAGGTTATCAAAATTCATTCGAAATATCAGCCTCATTTTCGAAATACAAAAAATTACATTATATAACACTGCCAACCAGTATAAACTTATTAAGGGGTTAGGCCACTGTAGAGGCGGAAAAAATCGGCAAATTTGTGAATTTTTTTTCAGCGGAACCATGAAATAAATCGGAGTTACAAAATAACGTCTTTATTATACAAGTAATAAACTATAAAAAATAATTTTGTCAAAGCGATACATGTCAAAATGGCGACTACATAACATTTCTCCGATAGCGCCTTTATTTCTACGATCGAACCAATACCTCCTTCAATTTTCAAGCTGCGATGAAAAACCAAAGGTTTTTCGATTATTTATGAGAATAGCTATAGACGTACGTACGATTTTTTCGATATATTGATTTTTGCTAAAACGGCGCGTTTCTAAATCAAAAAGTATACAATGCCATGAGAAAATCGTCAGGAAATTGTTTATAAAGAAGGAACTATGCAATATAATGAAACAATCCTACGTACTGCTACGTACTGCTACGTACTACGTACAACGTAATACTAAATGTACAGTTAAAATTTCAAATTAATAGGTTGAAATTTGCTTGAGTTATGAGTTTGAGTTTGAGTTATGAATTTTGAGAGAAACGCGTTTAAAGTTTGTAGAAAGTCAGGGCATGAATAATATGTTTCAATACCTAGAATACGAAAATTAAGTACTTACGAATTTTTCACGTACCTACATAATTTTTCGGAATATAATTCTATAGATACTAATGTATCTTTTTATAAATTAAAAAAAAAAGTCGACTTTTTGAAAATCCTACAGTGGCCTAACCCCTTAACGAGACAACGCTAATCAAGAACTTGTGATTGATTGACAGTGACTTTTTAAAAGGAAAAAAAATGATTAGACAGTAGGTACACAGGTATGCCTAATGATATTCTTATTTTTTATGTATCTAGACTTTAATAATCAGTTCATTTAATTTGATTCACAGTAAGGTATCGTATAGGCGTTTCAAAGTTTATCATACGGTTAATTTTCCAATTAAACATTAATGTCCCAAGACGTTACGTGGCTTCGTTATTTTCCAAGGCGTACAATAATACTGCACGTAATTCAAACGTTCCTCAATGAGACCATTCTTATGCACGGGATGACAGATTCGTACGGTTTCTCGGTAAACGAGGAGAATCTTTGACAGCGCCTCTTACGGTTTACGCAAGCAAGTGTACTACCCGCATTAGATTTACTGGAAGAAAAATTGAATCAGGCTGCTCGTCTAATCATGGTCTTTAATTACTAGAACGAACGAGCAGTGGTCAGCAGTGTTAACGAGAGCATATTGAGTGATTATAATTTTCATTAAAGCGACACCAAGAACAATATTGGCCACCGTGTACATTTTTACAAGGATACGTAAGTAACAGGGCACACCGTACGGATTCAAATATTGCATAGCGTCATCGTGTTACGCCTCATCGTAAAAATTCGTTTGACTACGGCATAAAAAATTATTTGAGACTTACGTCACGTATGTTGGGTGTACGCTTTTTTTTTTTTCAGTGCTAACGACCAGTGGGAACGCTGAATGTCATTTGGTAGCCAAATAAAAAAAAAAAGAATAAATAAAGGGTACGTAATTGAAGCCCTCGAATTCTCAATGTTAGATGGGCGATGCTTGGTGAAGCGCAATTACATTCAATTATTATGAATATTTCCGTTCGATTAAACGAGCACCCGTCTAATCAATTTATGAGACACGTATAACTTATCAACGCCATACACGGGTTATTAATAACAGCTTCATTAAATCCAAACAAATTGAACTTCCCTCTCGTGGTCTTTCATATTTATTTTTATCTCGTTAATTAATTGATCGGATCGTAACTTTTGTATTTTACCGCCAAAATAAAACTAGCCCTCTGACGGTGCAATTGGTTACTAGAAATTATCGTAGAGTTACGTCATTCTTGTTGTATCACATCACACATAATGTATGTACCTGTCCAAATTGCACGGGCCATACGCTATATTGACTATACTTAACGAACTTTATTATAGGAGTGACATTGCTTGCAAAATTTCCGGAGTCGCCCTTATACCATGACTGGATCGTATATAACGATTAACCAAAAAAAGAGTATACCGATAAGATAATTTATAATGATTATAATTATAAATAAAATATATATATATTATAAATAAAATCGTTATTTAGTAACTATACGTTCTTACTGCGTTACGCTCTCATGAGATGTAGGATTTGCACGATTATGATCTTTTTATAATTTCCAAGTATTTTAAGATCCACATAGAAGACGCATGTGTAGGCATATGTTGCCTGATGCGAGATACATAAAGCTACCATTAATGGCCGCAATCTAGGATGTGGTCTATAGACCCACGGGTGGTCCAGCATAAGGAGTCTGTATATTCTCAAGGATACTAAGAGTAGACTCAAGTATGAAATCAATTCAAAGACGCATCTTAAAAAAATGTAAGCAAATTACGCTAATGCCCGATGATAAAGAGTATCTATATAGAACTTAATAATCGCATGACGTATAGGCAGGTTAAGATGGGATCGTCAATCTATAAATAATCCGGCATTGGCTGGTGACGATCAAATAAACGGGATCCGCCACGATGTCAAGGAAATGACAAGAAATTTATCATTCTAATCTGTAACCATCCACGCCATGTTTATTTAGACGAACGGAACAAAGGGATGCCGATAAAATTTGTAAGAAAAAATTTCGCGATTATTTATCACGGCGCGAAATTTTTTCCTGTAAAATTATTACGCTCCTTCCAACACGTACTGGTGTATATATATATATATATATACGTTATGTTATGCATGAGCTGGAAACAGACAGCCGGGATACGCTGGCGTCACTGCTGAGAAATTTCAGGATGGTTATATCATCGTTTAAGAGAACGATCTGGTTATGAAGAAATATACCGGAAGGGTTGTGGCCTGGAAACCTTTAATAAAAATCTGTAATCTTGTGACCTGATGTTACTTCACGTTTTTATTGTTGTCATTCTTTTTATAATACTTTGCATCCCTGGTCATTTATTTGTTCGGTCATTAGATGTCGTGCGGATCGATTAGAGTGATTGGATACTCGTGGTAATTATTATTTATGTGAATATCAATTATATTAACTCCAGTATGATAATCGATCTAATTGTAGAATCGATACCGATCGGTTTACTGTTTACTACACGATTCACTATTACTACAGGCTTATCATTGATCGACGCGTCCGCTACGATGATTTCATGCTTCCATTCTGGAACGTGACGTTTTACTACCGAGCCTTAACTGCCTTGTAGTCTGCATTTCTGTTTATTATTTTCGCCATTTGTCTCGGGGCTTCGCGCACGTTCAACGTGATCATTTCCCAGAATCCGACTATTTCCGGAAGATAGTTAAATAAATTGAACTAGATCAAATTTAAAAATCAATAATCACAACATTCCGCCAACGTGCATTATTACGATGCCCATAAGTCAGCTTCTGTCGAAAATTATTCAATCTTCAGTGACAATAATTAATTTAAAAAAAATTCACAATTACTCTATCAATGACCGATAACGAAAAATCGATACGTCGCAGGTATCGAATAGATTAATTTGTTAAATAATAATTAAAAAAAAAACTATATCCTATTCATACTATTTTTTAATAGTTGACTCATATATATTCCATACCGCACCGGTGACTTTACTGCAGTAATAGGCTACAAGAAAATTCATTACTGTCAGAACAATGATTATACTTTCCGATCCACTCGTACGTATACTGTGCATAGGCGTTGGTATTAGGTATAAGATGGGAAATAAGAATGAAAAAATTAAATCCTTGGAGAAGGTGTGTCCCGTCTGAGGCGTGGGTTCATTCTGGGGACGATGTTAAACATTTTTCTCACTGACAGCTCACCGATATGCTGCAAGCCGATAAATGCGTGGGAGGATACGTGTATATACGATATACAATATACGCTATTCCTTGAACTCAGTCACAATTCAAGTATACTTGAAGCAAACCGAATGACCCTCGAGCGGTAAAATCAATCACAGTGAAAGAGTACATTATTCCATTTGTCAAAACATTTTCAACTGGTTTACTTAGAAGGTTCTTAATTTCACTTTTCCGTACCCGTAATCGATGGAATGTTACTTGGGAAAATAATTCACCAGAAATTTTGTTTACATTCATCTTATAACTGACAGGTCCAGTTATAACTTGACGCAAAAAAAAGAAAAGAAATCCGGAATTTAGTCAGAAACCGCGTCCAACGTCGTAAAATATTGACACTGCTTCTTTGATTTTTTTTTCATCTCCATTCCTGCCAGCTCAGTCAACATCGATTACAGATCACGAACGTTTACATATTCTCTATCTTTTTCGAAGCCACCGTCACGACAGTAGTAACGATAAAGTCAAATCGTATGTAGACCATAAGGTTTGCTCTCATAATAAACCGTAATGGAAATCTAGTATGGTTACCACAACAAGATAAGTTTATGTACCTAAAGTGACAAGTTGTAGGCTACGTAATGGTATTACTGTATACGCAATGTAAATATATATATATTTTTTCAGATTGAATCGGTAGACCTCGCTCTGAAGGTTCTGGACGGCTGGCAAATCCGAGGGAAGACGTTGTCCGTGCAGCGCGCGAAATTTCAAATGAAGGGAACGTACGATCCAGCACTGAAGCCAAAACGAAAGAAAAAGGACAAGGAACGTTTGAAAAAGAATCAAGAGAAGTATGTCGTATACGTTTACCAGGTGCATCAACTTTCTTCGCCGCCATTTTGGATGCATCTTCGCACAGCAGCTTCATTCGTATTGCATCTATCAGTGTGAACTCGTCTTTTGACTCCTCTGACCAAGTCTGGCAGACAGCTTGGCGTTTCTCCTTCCTGTAAAAGCAGTTGCAGGCGTGCCACAATTGTTTATCAAGTATATAATCAGTATATATATACTTGCATACGTATGCCAGTACATAGATTTCTCATACCTACTTATCATCTCTTCATCTCCACTTTACCAGAATACATCTGTACGCGCGTTTCGCGATATATCGCATCGTCGAGTAGAAACAGTGGAAGAACTGTGAAGAAAGAAAGAAAAAAAGAGTACAAAGGGTGCGCCGTCTTTTATCGTATTTGCAAAACGTACTAGGACCTTTACGAGGTGTGTCGTGTAGCGGTCTGTTAATTTAACGTTCACGAATTTTCTTCACGAATTTACCGTGAGCGCAAAGATTTCATGTGGGGATGACCAATGAAACGCTTACAGGACTGTAAATGATACTTAACGATTGAAGTACAGGATAGGAGGATAAGTGTGGAACAAAAGTACATGGAGTTGTAATGTATTCTATACTCCGTTCCTCCTTTCTTCATATTCATGAGTCCTCTCGGTTCGGTGCTTATACTTTTCCATCGTCTTGGCAGCCTCCAGGCCAGTATGGCGTGCGTGCAGTTCGATGCCCGGTCTGCACTTTGCGAAACCAGTTATTTACAGAGCGCACTCTGTATACCGGCTAAGATCACGAGGTTGCCGGAAATCTGTTGCGATAACGGTCCCACGTCTGTTTCCTCAGTCTGGACAGACAAATCTTATGCAATTCACGACTCTGTAGTATCAGGCGCGATTAAGTTAAATTTATGCAGTCTCTTCTGATCTGCACTCAAAGAGGTAGTGTCGTTGCGTCATTATGAGTCATGATTGCACTAGATATTCATCTTTCCCTGAAAAAAAAAAAGGAATTAGACATCACGAGCAATTGGTAGGTGTGAATAAATATGGGGTAATTTGTCGAAACCGTGTCTGATTATACGTTTACACGTTGGTGATGTCTATATGAGCGCCATGTTTGAATATTAATGACGGCTCTTTGTGTCCAACTATAAAACAAGACAGACACTCTATATTAGGACTCTTGACGTTTCTTCAGTAAGCAAACCATTGTATAGTATATATTGTCTTGGTAACTTTGCTTTCTAAACTAAAAGGGATCATCTTTTATTATTAGAGTGAATAGTTCAACCAAAAAAAAATATCACGGCCATTGCCACTAGTCCCTAATGACTTGGATGATCATGAACCAAAATGCCAAGCCACTGTGTAGCCATTAAGAAACACGTTGCGCTATCCCAGCAGGTCGTTAGCATTGTTTAATCTATCGTAAAAAAAAAAACAGAGTTTAATTCTGTTTTCGTTCGCGATATACGACGCTCACCATTCCGCCATTATACTTTGCATAAGAAACTTCACGCGAAAATACCCCACATGGCGTTTAGCATGTATTTCTATTTGCATTCAAATCGCCATGGTTAATAGTCTGAAGCGCGTTACCATATGATTATCATATGTTGGATGTACGATACGTGACTACTGTATAATATTTAATGCTTTTTCAGGCTATTCGATTGGAGACCAGAAAGGATGCGCGGCGAGCCGCAAAAGTGCGAACGCGTCGTGATAATCAAGAATCTTTTCGCACCCGAGGATTTCGACAAGGAAGTTGCACTGCTCTTAGAATATCAGCAGGACATCCGTTCGGAATGTCTGAAATGTGGTGATGTACGAAAAGTCATAATTTATGACGTAAGTGAAACATTTTTTCTTTTTTGTCGATGACAAATTTTGGGATTTTACCAATATTAATTTTATGCGAGGAAAAATAATTATTCTGACTTCGTTCATGAAAAAATTGGTCATACTTTACATTTGATTTAGGATGGGAATCGGTTGACGCGTTACTGGATTTCGACACAGACGCTATGTGCGTACGTGACTGTCGCGACGTCTACCTGTTTGGCTTGTGTGATCTAAAAGTTTAGTTTGAACTACTGACGCCAGGAGGGCTAGTGTAGGTGGAGGGTTGCAGTCTTTGATGATAACTTTCACAAGATGATTCGCTTTGTTTGTTACGTTGCCAGGGGAACGAGAAGAAGAATTTAGAAGGCTGAAACATATTTAACTTGCTTGTCTTGAACGTTCGTAATACCATGAAGAATATCAGATTACTAGGCGACTGTTATTAATTAAGTTGTTATAACTATTTTACTTGTTTCTAAAATTGTTTGCAGTATTTAGTCTTGGACTTTAAGACAGACCATTGTTTTAGGGATCCTATTGCCAATGGAAGGACAATCGGCTCTTTGTAAGCTTTTATTGAGCTAACGGAAATTGAGATTAGAAATCAGCTTCCTAATCCTAAGCACAGTCTTTTATATACTTCTTTTATGTTTTTTTTTTTGTATCTTTTTTATTAACGTTCACTTCACCTTGAAGTTTTATGGCGGTTCTTCTTTCTTAGAAGAGGAAGAGAAATACCTGTTTACAAAATGTTGCCATTCCATTCTTTTTTTCTTGCGAATGAATTTCCGGTAACCGGTAAAACGCGTCTTGTGTTGCATCGTGTCACGTTTTGTGACATGGCAGTGTAGTGTTGTCGATATATTATTTTATACGGCTGACTAATAAAAGACCGCTCGAGGTTCTCGATCAGTCGTGATACCATCGTTACGCTGTGTGAATAAGAAATGATTTCAGATGGTCTCTCCCTCTCTAGTGAGGGTATATTGCACGTGGGCGGATTTTTCAACGTCAGTTCTATTTTTCTCTCTGTGCACTAGACCAAGAGCACGGCACCGCGACGGAATTCTCATTTGGCATTGAACGCTCACGTGTATATTCACGGTTGAGACGCGACATGAGACGCAACACTATGGGTGTGTCCTTAAAGGCGAATTTATGGGGTTAGGTCATACCCTTTTACTGATTTATTAGCGTAACGTCTTTTTCGAGGATCTTCTTTCTTCTCCTGCGTCTATAAGAACGCGCTCAGACGACACGAGTAGATATTTTTAGACTCCATGGGCTACGACGTTTAGATTTATAAAAACTATACAATTTATACTCACGTGTGGTATTAGATTGCCGCTGGATTGCTTATTACATAAATACATTTTATATTACAGAGACATCCTGAGGGTGTTGCACAGGTAACGTTTGGTGAACCCTCGGAAGCTCAGGCATGCATTCAGTTATTGAATGGACGATGGTTCGGACAGAGGAAAATATCGGCTGAGATATGGGACGGTAAAACCAAATACAAGTAAGTTCCTTTGGTGTTGAACATGTTTCTCGATCGGTAAAGTGATTTCCCCATGCAGTATTTGTGATAGAGAGCGGTTTTATCGACAACTGACTTTGTGTTACCGACAGTCGGTAAGAGTGTTTACCTATTGTTGATAAATCGTCTTTGTGTCGCTTAAATATTTTTTGATACTGGGTAAATGGAGTGGTAAAATTTTCCGTGGTATTACATGAATTTCAAAGTAAAGAATCTTTGGTATTTATGAATTGTTGTAATGTCTTGCGTTAAATCAGAACACGTATGCTTGTTACATTCGAGTCGCGATTTCTTGAGCGTACCAGAACGCCTCGATGATCTGTTTTCAATCCTTGGTGAAATTCTTTGCCTTAGAGTGGCCGAGACAGACGCCGAGATCGAAGCGCGATTGGCCAAATGGGACAAGTTTTTGGAGGATGAAGACGAAAGAAAGGAAGCTGCAAAGAACGCGGCGCAGTCGAAGTGAAGCCAGAAGTACACCCAAGAAACATTGCACACCTTTCAACATCGAAAAAATGAAGTCCTTAAATCAGGAAGAGCGTCTCTTGATTTCGTATTACGAGTAATACTGGAAACTCGTACAACCCCGATAAATCCTCAGAGACATTGGCTATACTTTATAACAATAAATAGCCCATTCTCGATGCTGCTACATTAGTAACGTCGATACTAATTCTTGTAGTAACGTAGGGAAATAAAGGAAGATAATTTTAACCGTGTATAACAACTCAACGTTCCAAGAATGCGTGAAGAAAAATGATCAAATCATATTCCTTCCATGTAACATTCCACTCAAGTTCCATCGAATTGCATGCACCATCCTCTCACATTCCACAATGCCAGCGTAATTCAGTTGAAAATCGTACGGGAAGGATTCGAGATCCAGCAACAGCTTACATCCTTGACCATAAGGAGCAACTATTGAAATAAACGCAAAGGACCCGAAATCAGAAGTCGAAGCTCAGCCTGGAATACGCGAATCGGAATAATGGACGCCCGTGGATGGTAGGAACCAAGGAGCAAGGAAAGATCTGTGGAATCTCCTAATTTGCTATTTCGACATTCCACACGAGCCGTGCCTGTTGCGCGGCTCGTGGGACTTCTCTTCGGGGGCGACTCGGCGATCTGTCAAAAAACGCGATTCACTGAGCTGACTGACTACCTACCCATCTACCTCCTTCTCCTCCTACTCCTGCTCCTACTACTACTACTACTACTACTAGAAATGCCACTACTTCTGCTACTGCTATTATACATATAATGTTCACAGTGTGGCTGTCACAAGTGTGTCTCTTATTTCTTTTCCTTACCACAAGATACAGCCACGCTACGAAATCCTTAAGTTTACAGACACGCCGATTGGAAACACAGACGCTTGATTGTCGCGACTTGTGTTTTCGAGCCCTTGAATCCGACGAATTCTCGCTAGAGGCTCATTTGCGCAAGCGGCACCGACTTTTCGCTCTTTCTGGAACGAATTTTAATCGACGCTTTCTAACTGCCTTTATCTTTTTATCCTGTACTACGAACTTTTCCATGGATACTGTATTATGATGACATTCTTTCCCTTCATGGGATTCGATACGATGGTGTCACGTTCTACTTTTTAATCATTGTACCAAGATAGCCGGTACGTTTCAAACATTCATTTACAGTGACACGTTAACGATTCTCATGAGACTGACAATGCGACTATAAAAACAGTCCATAATCTTAATGGAAAGGTGGAAAATATGAGCGAGGTTAATATGATTCCCGCATTGTAAAAATACGTAACACATTTATAACATGAGCACGCGTAACCCCAGGTAGATAGGTGGAGAGGCAGTACATAGTATTGAGTTCAGCGATGCGCAAGCTACCCTTGGTAAATTCTAGAATGAATGAATACTCGCCCGAGCATATTTCAGGCATCATCCCATTCATTGGTCACGAGGGTCCAACCCCGCCAGTGTAATATCACTGACAAATTTAATGCCCAACTATTAGGAGCGGGGTTGCGCCCTCTCGAGCATTGTCAAGTGGCCACGTGCGCGATGACTCCCCTAGCTTCACGCAGGACCTTCCTGTTTGATCTGCGAGTTTAGTACTGGGTGTAGAGAAGGAGCATGAAAAAAAAAGCACTAGTCGGCTGCGCAATCGAGGCCGTCACGCTTGTCCCCGGGTTTATTGGATTTTCCACGACACCCTCTATAAGACCTGCCGGATTACACATGAGATTAGACACCGGCGACATTAGAATGCAATTTGACACGGTCAAGTGTTTCCCTTATAGTAGATAGTATGACACGCACGTAGTCCACGTATACGGATTTGAAGAAAAGCACCGTAAGGATCTTTAGACGTTATCTCGATAATTCCTGAAAAAGAAAAATACACCCCTGTTAATTATAAAGAGTTTCACTTGGCTAAGTATACGATATAAGGGTGCGCCTTCGTAGATTCAGGCAGTTAAAATTAAGCTTCCCAAAACACCGCGAAACTGTTAATTAAGACTCAGTATCCTACCCGAGCACTGAAGAAGGGGGTAGGGTAGGTACTGAACTCAGGGATGTTTCTGTAGAGGGTTGCCGAGGAGTCAAGCAGTAAAGGATAGAATAGGCTCGAAGGGTTTTCAGAGTAAATGGAATAAGAGGTTTTGGTAGTAGTATACATCTACGTACCCATATAGCCAGAGAGAAAGGTCGTTGCTGTTGGTCGTGAGGTAAAGGCGGTGGTTAGAGAAGGTTAGAAGGTGGAAGGTGGAAGGTTGGTTTAACCCGAGTAAGAACTTCTTAATACCATAAGAGAAGAGGTAAAAGGTAGGCGGTAGGTGGCTAAGGTAGGTACATATCTAGATGTAGAGAGTGAGGTTCATTGTAGGATCAATACAAACGCTAGCGTAGGAGTGGCAGTTGAGTTTCTATTGGCTGTCCGTTCCCGCTTTCCTATTGGACAAGAGTGGCACTGCCAGGAGGCGTTACCAAAGAGCGCCCTGGGGTGATCCCGGGCTCGACCCTCGCGTCGTGGATAGTCCCAACTAAAAAGACACACGGAGGTAGGGCGACTACTCGGAGTAAAAGCCACCAGAAAAAGACTCCGGACACTAGGAGAGGGTGACACGATGCTGTGGTTCAGTCTGTGTTTGTCCACCAAAGACACGGCACCGCAGCAGCATTACTCCAGAGTAAACCTGACCGCATCAGGCTGCCTGAAACGATAAAACGTGACGTTACAGAATACGTACTACTGCACCCTGTGTATTTTATTTTTCTTTTTTTCTTTATCAGTCCGTACTCATTAATCAAGTTAGACCTGGTACCAAGACCGTCTGATAATCTTATAGTATACCAAATGACTACATTGTAAATACCATTGTGGCATTGATATCTAAACGTCAGGTAGCTTAGTCCAGTGAAAAGGAAAAGTGATAATTGACACCGTGTTATCGTGGACCCTCATAGTGTGGCTCAAGGGTGAAAATCATTGGATCGAAGAGAAGTTCAAGAAACTTAAAAATATTCGCAGGAGATGTAATAAAATAAAGAAGACTGACAGCGCGGAACAGTAATAATAAGTGGCTAGGATTTACTGGAGATTTGCCGGGTGAAATACGTAATGAGGGGTGAAACCTGACAGTATCAGCGGGTGGTTCGGAAGAGGTGTTTCTTGGCGTATGAAGTCGATAGAATCCTGGCAGTGACTAACTGGTTCAAATCATCCCTTAACGGAAGAGGGAAGAAGTGCGAAAAGGATATACCGCGGGAGGACAGTCATGTGCTGTTACTGACAAGTGGTTACACCCGGCTGTCATTGTTATACGCGAGATTATCGGGGCGGATAACGTGCTCTCGTGATAAGATAAGGGCTGCGCGAGATAACGAGTGTGGAAGAGATAAAGGGTGCTTTCGCGGCTGGTGCGACGTTCGGCTACGCGAGTCGTCAGGCCGGCTCTGGGGGGCCGGGCCCTGGGGGTGTGATGAGCTGCCCCGAGGTGATGTATCAGGCTTACTACCCTTACCTCTATCAGAGGGCACCACCACCCCCACACCCAACCCACCCCCATGCCGCACCACATCCCCACACACATGCGAATCCTCATGCTGCTCATCACAGCCCTGCCAGGCCTGCACCTTTTCAACCCTTTTCTACGGCCACCGCGACGCACCAGTACGACAGGGTGAGTTTTCTTCTTATATCTGCACATACGTTATAAACACATTGCGTTTGTAAATTTTCTTTTTTTTTCTTATATTAATAAGATAAGTATGTCAGATTTGCTACACGAAATTATGTCAAACGTCATTATCAAATTTTTCCCAAAAAATTACAAGTAAACAATCTTTACCACATTGTTTTATTGATAAAGTCCAGTTTATGGCGGGCTATAGATATATGATAGTCAAAATGTAGATATCAAACCGGCTGTCATAAGTCCTCGCTGAGAACATTACTCATAAGTGGAGTCACTATCTGACATTCCATGTCTGGAAGCGGACAGCGCGAGCGGCATACCTCATGTTTAAGATTACACAGAATCCTAGTTCTGCCGACGGATACGACGTGTCCATTTGTTTCTGGAGTACAGCGTCGAGAAGACTATACAACCTGTTAGGATTCGCTATAATTTTTTTTGCAAAGAAAAATTACAAAAACTTATCAGCAATTGCGATACTTGACAACAGACAAGATTTGTTTACTCCTAAACGTTATACATATATGATGTTCTGAAAGTTTTTGTTAATATGTATGGTCATTGTCTACTGGAACCGACAAGGTCCAGATTTAACGGTACGGGTTATGGAAATGGGATAAGTCGCCTTCAGAGATTCTTAATCGGATTAGCACCCGGAGGCGTTATCGAAACACAAAGGTCCAAGAGAACTGTTGCTGGCAATTTTACAAGTGGATTATGACACCTGTCAATTATGAATCCTTTATGGTGACTAACCACACTATATAACTCGGCATCTCACCAATGGCGAGGAATGATAAAAGATCCTTGAATGCATGGACAGTAGTGTTACTTTTGAAACACGCAGTACGATACACGTCTTTAACCTTCTGTTTACGAAACACTGTGGAGTCGATTGTCCTGCCTGGCGAATTTTTGTGAATCTTTTAACGATTGTCTGACATCTTTACAAGTACTTAAGTACATACCTTCTGTGGGTTCCCGCAAATCGTCGCGATGACACCGGCGCTACAGTATCTGCATAGTTGTGTACATGCATTTCGGTGCATCTCCTGAAATAGTTTTCTCGGGCTTTCTTCACGCAACGCCGTTCCTCTAGGCGTTCTTCTTGCATTGGCTGTGTGTCATTTTAATCTGTCTGCCGGGAGGTCAGGCGTGCTCTGTTCCTCGAGATGCATCCACCCGTGCGTCTTGGGGTGTTGAATGCACTTGCACCATTTTCTTTTCACACTGTCCAACAGTATTCCTAAAATGAAATAGTTTAGTGGAAAAAAAAGGATATTTGTATTAAAATTACAACGTTGATGCTTATAGCATTAAATGAAATACTTATACTATTCTGATCCACGTTCTTTCGTTTGTTAGCTGATTGTTTTGGATGAAACGGTAAAGAATTTGATTGACCAAATTGATTTTTGCGAGAAGCGACAGAGAGGGTCGACAAGGGGTCGCTGGATGGTGCGCTATCTTTTCCTGCGAGTCTTTTAGTGATTTTCTTTTATCCTTATTTTTGTCTTCGTCTTCTCTTTCCTTCTATCTGCTCTCAACGCAACAACCACCAGTTCACGCTCTTGCGACTTGACGAATGTCCCGTGCTGACGATCAGTGTCGACAGACTTGAGGATTCCGCTTGTCCCGTGATTCTCGCGACACGAGGACACAAGCGCGGCTCACAAAAAATGTCGAAAAGCATCCTCCGCCTAGTGCGCAGTCTACTTAACTTATAGCCTGCTGGCTTTCAGGACGGGCGAGATAGAACGACGAAACCTGCAAGAGAGAAAGAGAAAGAGAAAAAAGGGAGAACAACAAAAAAAAGACACGTCAAAGAACTTTGAAAGGAGGAAAAGAAGTAAAGTACCGTGGAGAAGACTACAGAAGAAGAAGAAGAAGAAGAAGAAGTAAAGATAAATAAATAAAAGTGATGGAAGAAAACAGAAGAGAAAAAAAGGATAAAAAATAAAAGATATAACCGACTGATGTTATTTGGTATTATGGCGTCGACCATGACTCTCCTAACCTGGTGCAATAAAGTCATAAACGTTTTAGTATCTCTCTAAAATGTATCCAGTATCGAGAAATCCTCTTCTAGCAATATTTTACGTCTCTAGAACTATATTTTGTAAATACAAGTGCATTTACAACATTAGAATACGGTGAATAGAACATTAATTACTCGAAGCGATGCTGTACACATGTAACTAGGAGTTTTATAAGCGTAAAGAAAAACAAACGCGACTATACTTATAAAGTATTTATAAGAGGAATATTAGCTGGAATAAAAAGATGGTAGGACGACTATCGGTCACATAAAAGTACCTAACTATATGGAAGGGACAGGTGCAGATGGGTGCGTAAGGTTTCAAGGGAGTTGAAGCTCACATAAGAACCCAGCTATCCTTCATTAGCACTCTTGTCTCTCGTTACGGACGCTATTTCTTCAGTAAAACTGCCACTGGTAGTGCTACTGCTACTATTTTTCCACTATGCCACTATACTCGTACAACAAACACACTGAAAACACTTCTCTTGGTGCCACTCCCCTTCGACAAGTCACAAGTTGCCGTTTTCAAAGTCGCTGTCCTATTATGTCACTGATTCTCGAATAAAAACTTCACGCGGACATCCTCGCCATTCTGATTCTTCTCTGTAGCTTCTATCAACGTTTCTCGTAGCCCTTCGGTCATCCCCTTTCCCGTCAACGTGTCCCCGCCACACGACACTGCCTACACTTTGATGCTCGTAAACGTCATGGCTGCCATAATAAATAAGAGTGATACAGTTTTCGGCGAGTCGTTCGTGCTTTTCCGTACACAACTATTCCGATAGATGGCACTGACGTCGCTACCATTTCGGTATACCTCTCTCGGTATACTTTACTTAACTCGTGTCCTCCGAGCGGTCTAGCTTGCTATCTGGTCAATTAATGAACTGATGTCGTCGCAACGGACCACCAAGATGGTACATGCATCCACGGTACGCGTCACCCTCAGCACCGGGCCGCTATAGTGTGTATATACTGCACCCTAAAGTTCTGATAGTCCCTGGGACTAGTTCCCAACGACTATAATGCTCGACCTATAACCAGCTCCTGTCTCGACCGACGAGCAGAACTCAAACGGACCGCATTTTACCTGACCAAGTTTTACGATCGTCGCGTCGAGGTGGCGATGTGTCCTTTGTCTTATCATTAGAGCGGGATCTTTCTCTGGCCTCTAGAAGCGTTCTTTCTGCCATCCGAAGTTTCTCCTGCATTTAAGTTTCTCTCTTTCTGTTCTTCGTCTTTGTTTTCGTGCTTTTATTTACCTTTGTTACTATTAATTTCTTTGGATTTCTTCGCAGTATCCGTATAGTTCATAGATACCTGTATCATTCATAGAATAAGAAGATAAAGTCACGATCAGGTCTAATGGAACATTGATGAATGGGTCTCGGCTGTATGCCGATTGAAAAATTACGACATCCGAAAAATCTCACGGCGACGGAGGAAGGTTTACGCGGTTGGCAGCGACATCGTGAAAGTTAAAACGCGTCTGCAACGAGTGCGGATAGAAACGTTTAACTTATAAATTATAACGCCCGCATTTCTTTTTCTACCGTCACATGTTCTATGCTTGAACGATTTTTTTCTTCTACTTTTTTCATACCCCGCTCTCTCTCGTTCTCTTTAACTCTCTCAGTACTCTCCTCGTTTCCTAGCTTCCTACATAAATTCAAGTAGCTCTCCCCACGAGAAAACTATTCGGCCTCTCGGAGACCTCGGCCCGATATAAAAATACGCATGCGTCTACTTGGCTTGTCAATATTACACCGCCATGTGTTTATGTCTCCGCCATAGAGAATGCATGTATAAGATAGGTACCTTGAGAACGAGACCTATATTCGACATGCGTATCTAGGTATATACTCAGTGGACAAAAATAAATGTCACAAATAAATACGTAGAAATGCAGCCGCTATTATACTCTCACGAAATCGTTTAACTATCCGTGGTAAATGCGTAATGTCCATCGGCAGTTCAATTCGAGTCAGGAGCGTAGATCAAGTTGGGGGCAAAAGAGGCGCGTACTTTAAATCTATTTAAAAAGTTCGAGATCTTTTTACCGCGGTACAGTAACGGGTCCTTTCGTTCTGTGTCGTACATTAGCCAAGTATTTTTGGTTCTCGAAGAAACGTTGATGGAATCTCAAATGAGCCCTCCGGCATGCTACGACGACACGAAGCAAAGACTCGCACGCTTCGTGGAGTTTCCTTAATTTAAAGCTTTCCACCAAAAGCGACAACTTCACTGCGTACAAAAAGGTATATTATCTGCTCCTTTATAGAATCGTCTATACGTACAATCGTAAGTGTTGTGTCAAAGAGAGATCTATAAGATCGATTTATCCCACTCTTGGCTGTACACCGTGCACGCAATCCCACTGTACTAGTACACCGTGATAGTACTACGTATAGGTGCTATTGATCGGGATCTCCTTTTGCTTTCCCGTAACGATAAGTACACATACGTTAATCGTTCGGACTTCTAGGCATTCCAACGTGTCGTATTAGGAGAGATCAACTATCAGTGTAATTTGTTGTTCTCGCTTAGCCGGAATAAATTTCATTCAACCAGTTTTCTAACTATAGTTGGACACCGACGTTCCATACCACGTAAACAGTAAACTTTATATTACATATGTACGTACACAAGAGAGTATAGATGGCGGCGATTTCATCCGTAAATCATTTATACGGGATTGCGCTGGACAAAATTATAGGTTGTCCCGCTAAATTTTATCACTTTTAATTTCTACCTCGCGTTTTCATTATCAACCCTCCCTACCGTGGACGTATCTAGTCTTCGTACGTACACCTGGGACTTCTCGCTTGCAATTGTAATAGATGGAACGCCATTGGATCTTTCTTGATATACCTAAGCGAGCCGATTTGCTATTTCATTTCCAAGAATTAGGATCCTAGAGGAACGTCCGAAGAAATTCATAGCA